TGGTGCTGAGGTAGGATTCTCTTGCTTTTCCCATGCTTGGATCTGGGTCAAAGTTTTGGGTGGCGGTCCTGGGATGAGGAGGAGCGCTGGCATAGCAGAGACTATGGTGGTGGTGAAGAGGGAATCCTCCTCACAGTTCCAAGGCAGAAAAGAGTGCTTGTGATCACTCATAGACCAGAGGACAGGCCAGAAAAGGAGTAAACATCTCTCCTTTGAACGTGCCACCTTGGAAGAACTGAAAAATTTACAGGTACCTAGAAGTATCTCTGAAAACAGCTGCACAAAACCCTCCAAGCTTGGGACAGTACATTCTCCACCTTGGAAGCAGACCCTTACCTTAACAAAGAGTTTAAAAGTCAGATAATTGGCTGGGATCATAAGCAAACAGCACAAAAAAGTCAGACCATAGACTTTTACTTTGGTGACAAAGAAGAACAAAACATACAACCAGAAGAAGACAACAGAGGCAAAATTCCTACATCCAAAGCCTCCAAGAAAAATATGAATCAGTCCCAGGCCTTGGAAGAGCTCAGAAAGGATTTTGAGAAGCAAGTAAGAGAAGTAGAGGAAAAACTGGGAAGAGAAATGAGAGTGATGTAAGAAAATCCTGAAAAACAAGTCAAGAGCTTGCTGAAGAAAATAACACCTTAAAAAATAGACTAACCCAAATGGCAAAAGAGGTCCAAAAATCCAGTGAGAAGAATGCCTTCAAAAGCAGAATTGGCCAAATGGAAAAGGAAGTCCAAGAGCTCACTGAAGAAAATACTTCCTTAAAAATTAGAATAGAGCAATTGGAAGCTAGTGACTTTATGAGAAATCAAGAAATTGTAAAACAAAACCAAAAGAATGAAAAAATAGAAGACAGTGTGATTATCTCATTGGAAAAATAACTGACCTGGAAAATAGATGCCGGAGAGATAATTTAAAAATTGTTGGACTGCCTGAAAGCCATGATCAAAACAAGAGCCTAGAAATCATCTTTCAAGAAATTATCGAAGAAGACTGCCCTGATATTCTATAACCAAAGGGTAAAATAGAAATGGAAAGAATCCACTAATCACCTTCTGCAAGACATCCCCAAAGGAAAAGTCCTAGGAACATTGTAGCCAAATTCCAGAGTTCCCAGGTCAAGGAGAAAATATTGCAAGCAGCCAGAAAGAAACAATTCAAGTATGGTGGAAACACAATCAGGATAACACAAGATTTAGCAGCTTCTACATTAAGGGACTGGAATATGATATTCCAGAGGGCAAAGGAGATAAGATTACAACCAAGAATTACCTACCCAGCAAAACTGAGTATAATCCTTCAGGGGAAAAAATGGACATTTGGTGAAATAGAGGACTTTCAAGCATTGTTGCTGAAAAGACCAGAGCTGAATAGAAAATTTGACTTTCAAATACAAGACTCAAGAGAAGCATGAAAAGGTAAACAGGAAAGAGAAATCTGAAGGGACTTGTTAAAGTTGAACTGTTTACATTCCTACATGGAAAGATGATATTTGTAACTCATGAGACCTTTGTCAGTATTAGGGTAGTTGGAGGGGGAAAAAAAGATAGATAGATAGATAGATAGATAGATAGATAGATAGATAGATAGATAGAGGGCACAGGGTGAGTTGAAGATGAAGGGGTGATAGCTAAAAAATAAAATTAAGGGTTGAGAGAAGATTATACTGGGAGAGGTAGAATGGGGCAAATTATCTCACATAAAACAGACAAGAAAAAGCTTTTACAGTGGAGGGGAAGTGGGAGAAAGTGAGAGGGAATGAGTGAATCTTATTCTCATCAGATTTGGCTGAAGGAGAGAATAACATACACACTCAATTGGGTATGGAAATCTATCTTACCCTACAGAAAAATAGAGGAGAAGGGGATAAGAAAGGGAGGGGGCAGAATGATAGAAGGGAGGGCAGATTGGGAGAGGGGGTAATCAGAAGCAAACACTTCTGAGGAGGGACAGGGTCAAAAGAGAGAACAGAATAAATGGGGGGCGAGATAGGATGAAGGGAAATATACTTAGTTTGTCACAACATGACTACTGTGGAAGTGTTTTGCATGACTACACATGCATAACCTGTATCAAGTTGCTTACCATCTCAGTGAGGGTGGGTGGGGAGGGAGGAAGGGAGAGAATTTGGAACCCAGAGTTTTAAAAACATGTTAAAAATTGTTTTTACATGCAACTGGGAAATAAGATATACAGTCAATAGGGTATAGAAATCTGTCCCACTCTACAGGAAAATAGAAGGGGAAGGGGATAAGAGAAAGAAGGGGTGATAGAACAGAGGGCAGATTAGGGGAAGGAGTATTCAGAATGCATGGGGTAGGTGGAGGGGCAAGATGGGGAGAAAATTTGGAACTCAAAATCTTGTGGAAATGAATGTCAAAAGCTAAAAATTAATTTAAAAAATGTTAAATAAAAATTTAAAAATTAAAGAAAATAAAATGGGTGATTTTAATTAAGTGACATTTTAAATTTTCACATAAACAAAACTAATGTAGTCACAATTAGAAGGAAAGCAAGAAACGGGGGGGAACATTTATTACAAGTTCCTCTGTTAAATGCCTTGTTTCTCAAATATTTGAGGCCAAAACTTATAAATAAGAGCTATTCCCCAGTTGATAAATTGTCAAAGATTATGAACAGTCAGTTTTCAAAAGAAGAAATCAAAGCTATCAATAGTCATATGAAAAAATACTCTAAATCACTGCTAATTTGAGAAATGTAAATGAAATTGGTTGCTTCTTGTTGTTATTGTTGATAATTTTTCATTCTCAGATTGAGGACCATGACAGAAAAGGAAATGACAAGGGTTGGAGGGGATGTGGAAAAATTGGGACACTAGTGCATTGTTGGTGGAGTTGTGAACTGATCCAACCATTCTGGAGAGCAATTTGAACTATGCCCAAAGAGCTATAAAACTGTACATACCCACTAAAAAGGAAAGAGCTATATGTATAGAAATACTTACAGCAGCTCTTTTTGTGATGGCAAAGAATTGGAAATTGAAGGGATACTCATCAATTGGAGAGTGGCTGAACAAGTAGTAGTGTGTGATTGTGACTGAACACTGTACTATTGTGCTATAAGAAATTACAAACGGCGTGGTTTCGGAGAAACTTGGGAAGACCTGTATGAACTGAGGCAGAGGGAAGTAAGTAGAACCAGAAGATCATTATACATAGTAAGAGTAATGTTGTAAAAATGGGTCGACTGTGAAAGACTTAGCTACTCTGATCAGTACAGTGATCCAGGACAATGTAAGGACTCATGATGAAAAATGCTGTCCAACCTCTAGAGAGAAAACTGATCAACTCTGAGTGTAAATTGAAGTATGATTTTTTTTCACTTTATTTTTCTTCAGGTTTTTTTTTTGGCAACATGGTTATTATGGAAATGTTTTGCATGGTTTCACACATATAACTGATGTCATATTGCTTGACTTTTCATTGGGTAGGATAGGTGCTAGAGGGCAAGAGAGAATTCGGAACTCAAAATTTAAAAAAAATGTTAAAAATAAATTTTTTTAAAAGTAATTTCTTTAACAAAAGAAAATTTTTAAAAATGAACTTTCTGTTCTACTTAATTTCTTTCAACATTTTACTCACAATGTATAGGCTTAAGTTTAAATGTGTTAAGTTAAAGACCAAGTGATTTATTGATGTGATGAGAATAAATATGACATGGTAGTGTCTGAGGTCCTTTCTAGCTCCAAATTTATGACCATGTAAATATTAAAAGTTCAGGATTTTTTTCCCCTTTATTAAAAACATGTTCTTCCTTAATAGTGCATTGCACAGAACTTTTTCAACTTAGGCGGAATAAAGGTTTAATACAGTAACAGTATTGTGAATACAGTAATTCTTTGTGTCCCAGTCCACAATTCATATTAACACTGCTTTGAGGATGTAAATACAGTAAATTTAACTGAAAGACAAATCTGTTATAACACATATTCATAAGATCACCACTTAGTAGTCCTAATTCTTTTTTAATGAAGATATCCTTTTGGCCCAGTATATTTATGTGGTACCTGCAAGTATTTAAATACCTGCACAAGGATAAGTATTCCTAATAAAAGTTAGGCTTGTGGAATGTTAAAAACAAGAATTTTGGGGGGCGGCTTTGAGACACTGGCTATGAATTCTTGGACAGGAAGCAGTAGATGGGAGTAACAGTAACAAGGGCTTTGAGGCCTTTGACTTCTGAATACAGTGACCAAATGTTTTGGTTTGACTGGGAGAGTCTTGATTTTTGCAACTGGTGTTGAGTAAACAGGTATCCAAGGAATTCCTTGTAAGGAATCCTTACTTCCTCACATATTTCTTACTGAAAAACTGGTTAGTGGATTTGATGTTCCTTGAATGGGATTCCAAACTCCAGGCAGCTTTCAAACACTGTGTATTATTATGTGAACTGAGTAGAATACTTCAGGTATGGTCATTCAGAGCACAATCCAGAATATTTCATCATTTGTCTACAGTTACTGTTAGGTCTAATTCAGAGACTAGAAGCTGGGAACATGCTTTGCGTTCTTTCCCTTCCACCTCCCCTTTAAAAAAAAAACCCTCAAATTACAAATAGCATTTTGAAGAAAAAAATTATGAAATAGTTTTAGTCAAATGTGATAGACACTGAAACATGCCTATTGCCAAAAGGATCAATACAGGCCCTGCAATATCTGTCCTCTCAGTCTCCATGGAAATGGAACCAGAAAAATGGTTGTTGTTATGCTTTGCAAATGCCTGACATTTGCTTTAGATGACAAGTAAAACATAATAAATAATACCACATAGGCTAAAACTTGCCTTTAGTGTATGCAGTTTATCCATTTTGATGATCTTTCTAACTCATTAAAATGAGATTCTCTGGGTTTATATTTTTACACGTTTCTGTGTAGGTGATACATTTAGTTCCATATTAACAGGGCAATTTGTAGGAGCATTTTTTTTTTTTAGTAATGATTTTAAATTGGAATATTGTATGTCTGTTTCCAGGCAATGCTTATAATCAAGAGGAACGTGTTGTATGTGCTGGCTATGACAATGGGGATATCAAACTATTTGATCTAAGAAATATGTCGTTAAGATGGGAAACAAATATTAAAAATGGGGTAATGTATATTCTTACTCTTGATCATTTCACTGAACCTTTTTACAATCATCTTTTTATCATTGAGTTGGAAAAGGGCACACATGAACACATGAAGGGCACAAAGAGGGCCTTTTCCCAAGCCTTAAATATGGATAACCCAAACTTACCCCTGAAGTCCCAGAATTGTATGCCTTCAATGAAGAATGTTCTATTTGTACTTTTCCAAAGTTCATTTACTGTACAGAGGTGCTGCTTTTCATCTGTGTCCATAAATGTAGCACCAAAAATGTTATAGTTCATCCAAGAAAAAAATTTATTATAGGGAAAAGAGCCTTATGTACTAGTTCAAAAAATAAAATGGATACTTTGCATTTTTTCTTGTTTGCTACTAACTTTGAAGCAGCTGTGTTCAGTTGAAGAGAGTTAACCGATTATTAATGATGACAACCTCTTGAATGTTTGTACTCTCAATTTTTAGGTTTGTAGCGTGGAGTTTGACAGGAAAGACATCAGTATGAATAAACTAATAGCTACTTCACTAGAAGGAAAGTTCCATGTTTTTGACATGAGAACTCAGCATCCAACCAAAGGGTTTGCCTCTGTTTCTGAAAAGGTAGAGTATAAAGTCAATGTCTTTGTTAAATATGATTCTTTTATTTTGGCAGAAGAAGATAGCTTCTCGGTAGGACTCTGAAATTTCTTCCAGGGCTTTATGTAAAAGATGTTTTAATGCTTTACAGATAGCATGTGGGCAGGTAGATTTGTCACATTCGGGTATAATCTTTAAACACTTATCTGGTACAAAAAACATGGATAAAGGAGGTGAGGGAGAGTGAAGAGTCAAAGACGACAGCCTGGGTTTGTGACTGGAAGGATGGTGGTGCCCTCACCAGCATGAGGACAGTTAGGATTGATTTACGGGTATTTGCAGAGGTGTTAAAAACTGCTAATGTTCTCTTCATTGACCAGTTTTTTGCCTTTCTTATTGTTATAACTAAAGAGAGTTTATTAATCCTTAGTGCCATCCTATAAATCATCATGTTTTTCATTTTAGAGTTTAGACAAGTCATCTGGTATTAAAATGAGGACAAGGCAAGATAACTTAAGATTAACATCCATTGTATGTACTTTTTGCCAAAAAGTTGTTCCTTTTTTGGGGTATTTATTATAACAGGTAGGGAAAATGTTTCAATGTAGCAATGATAATATAGCTCAATTCTGTAGTGCTTTACAGTTTTTACAGACTTTTCTTTCCTCATAGCAGCCCTGTTAGAGAGCTACTAGAAATGTTATTATCCTTGTTTTATAGGCAAAGAATCTGGGAGTGAGAAAATTACTCATAGACAGTGTTGAACCCGTATGTTTTCAGATTCAGGGGACCTGGATTCAAATACCGGCTTTGCCACTTTACAGCCTGTTTGACTCTGTGCAAGTCATTCATCCTTTCTGGGCCTCAGTTTTCCCAGAAATGAAGGGCTGCCCTAGGTGACCATGCTGACCTTTTCCATTTCTCAGTCTGTCATCTTTGAAAGTGGAGCTCTTTCATTCTTTGGATTCCAAATCTTGCAGTTTTTTCTAGTCAAGATTGCCCAGCTGAAATGTGTCATTTTGTGAGTTCTTTATATCATTAAGCTAAACATCCTTTAAAAAATATTCGGTATGGGGGCAGCTAGGTGGCTCAGTGGATAAAGCCCCAGCTCTGAAGTCAGGAGGACCTGAGTTCAAATGTGGCCTCAGACCAAACACTTGACACTTACTAGCTGTGTGACCCTGGACAAGTCACTTAACCCCAATTGCCTTTAAAAAAAAAATTCAGTGTGGCAGTTGTGTCATCTTTCACCATCCTGGTCATCCTTATCTTAGCTCCCAAGGCCTGAGGCACAGCTGGGGTCCTGAGTGAGAGGCCACTACCCTTCCAAAGGATTAGCTGAGTCCAGGGAAGGGCTGAGGGAACCCACACCCCATCCCCACCAATCCCTCTGGCATGACTGAGCTGCTGGGAATGCAAAGAAAAGCTCCCAGTGGTCCCTGACCTGCCGGAACTCACATTGTCTTTGTAATTGGAAATAGCATTAAGAAACTGCCTAATTATGGTACCTTCAGAAAGAAAACGTTTCTCAGGAAAATCTGGGAAACTAAACGATGGGTGAGTTGAGCTTATGGCTTGACAAAGAAGACAAAAAAGATCTCAGTGGCTCGGAGGAAGATGCTAGGGAAGGAAAGACTACAGTAAGTCAAAGGCATGGGGAAAAAAGACCTACAGTCATTACTCATGGAGCAGTTGAAGAAGATAATGGGGAGGGGGGGTGAAGTACAGAATATGTTGGAAAGATTTGGAGCTGATATTAACAATGCTTTTCTTGCAAAGAGGAAAAGATTAGACATATGGGTTTTTTTGTTTGTTTGTTTGGCTAGGCAATTAGGGTTAAGTGACCCATCCAGGGTCACACAGCTAATAAGTGTCAAGTGTCTAAGGCTGGACTTGAACTCAGGTCCTGTGCTCTATCCACTATGCCACCTAGCTGCCCCCAGAAGTGTGTTCTAAGGCTTCTTTTAAAACCGGTAATCAGAAAATGGAGCATATTTGGAAAACACAGCAAGAACAAAGGCCAAAACTCAGCCATGAATTTAAGTTCATAACATTATTTTAGCAATGGGATGTGGTGGATGTTCAGAAAGCTGAAGAACGGGGGGGTGGGGGGGAACAAACAACTAGTTAACATATTTGAACAACAGCAAAAGGTTTTTCAACAAGCTAGAATAGTTCAGAGCCATAGACCAAGACCATTAAACAGCTATATGAACAATTCTTAAAGAATATGGAAGGCTTGGAGAAGAACCACAAAAGCCTTTTTACAGGTGCACAAAATGAACTCAGAAAAGAAATGGCCGTGTTACAAAAGAAAATTATGATGGACGCCAGCAGCAAGCAGTGGCGAGTGGTGAGGCAGCTAGGTGGCACAGTGGATAGAGCACTGGCCCTAGAGTCAGGAGGACCTGAGTTCAAATCCAGCCTCAGACACATGATACCTACTACCTGTGACCCTAGGCAAGTCACTTAACCCTGATTGCCTCACCAGGAAGGAAGAGAAGAGGAGAAGAGAAGAAATGAAATGGCAAATGGTCGAAAACCTTTTCAATCCATGTTGTTCTGATGGCTCTTGGAAGAAAGAACTTGGGCCTAAGTAATATGATATAATTACAACCATTTGCTAAAGGAAAAGCAAATATTTGCTGTGGCTTTAGAAAGCTAGTTTAGAGTTTATCTGATGTTATATAGCTTGTTTATCAGTGTAAGATCCTCTTTGTTTTATGTTAACTGAAAATGCCTACATGAATAGTAAATAGCAAGTTAGTACTTTTCAAGTTCTTTGGTATTAGTGGATTTCCCCCCCAGTAGCAATTAAAGACTCATGGCTTCTAGCAGTAAAAATTTAATTGAATAGGCAAATTTATAAATCCATTTAAAGAGAAGTGAATTACATTGTACTGTGGAAAAGTGCAAAAGGACATTTAGTATCATAGCATCTTTCTCTTTCTAAAATGTCCTTGAACTTCCCTCCTAAAAATAATAGAATCTTATTATAATGCAATTTATTATTACATGGACTGAGGAATTGAATAATTGAAATCATATCTCCTGAATTGTAACTATGCTGGTGTAACATGCATTGGTCCTGTGTTATAAAAGCAGTGTTATAAAAGGGATTCCACAATATTTCTAGTTATCAAATGATCATAGATTTAGAGGTAAAGAGTCTTTAGAGATGATCTGTTACAACACCTTTGTTTTACATGGGGATCGGGGCAGCTAGGTGGCACAGTGGAGAGAGCACCAGGCCTGGAGTCAGAAGGACTTGAGTTCAAATCCGTCCTTAGATATGTACTAGCTGTGTCACCCCAAGCAAGTTGCTTAACCCCAATTGCCTCCAAATAAAAAAAAAAAAAGAAAAGAAAATTGGGGACCAGAAAGGTTAAATTACTTGCCCAGAGTCACAGAGAATCCTCCAACTCAGAATTAGACTATTCTTTCATTGTATAATGTGATTGCTACTTCGTTTGCCTATTTTCTTCATTGCTTTTTTTTTAAAGGACGTGATTAAAAAGTTTTACCAAACTTCTAATAGACATTATAAAGAGTAAAACAACTTAATTACATTCATAAAAACTGACCAGTTTCAATTTATGAAAATCTGTATTTGCTGAATCCCTTTCTTAAGTGTGTTCTTATTCATCACTTTACTCTGTAATTAGTAATATGACTCTGATCTTTTTTAGGCTCATAAATCTACTGTATGGCAAATCCGACACCTGCCCCAGAACAGAGAGATCTTTATGACTGCTGGAGGTGCAGGGGGGCTTCATCTGTGGAAGTAGTAAGTCTTCTCTTAATGCATGTGATTTCTCCTGATTGGTTTGTGGTTCCTAAACATAAGCTTTTGTTGTTTTTGTTTGTTTTAAATTGGCAGGGAACATAAAATAAAAACAGATTGAGTCTTTTTGTATTTGTTCATTCAGCATAGTCACTTTTGATATAATTTGAAATTTCTTTTTGCTAGGTAAGTGCTACTGTCCTTACATTTCATTTACAGATGTTTTTATTCATTTTACATTAACAAAGATTGCTCTTCCCACAAGGACTGAAAGAATATTGCCAATAAGAGCATTATGTTTGATCAGATAATGTACAACCTACGCTCAGATGGCACAGGAACAATTTTTTTTCCCATAATCTAATAGTCACCTTTGTTGGATGGTTTTTTGTTTGTTTTTTATTACAACAAGAAAGATAAAAGTTGAATGTTCCAAATGGGGAGACTTTAAGGATTTAGAATCATAGAAAATGGCATTTTTATTCTCATCAATGTAATTCTTCAGCCTGGTAATCAGACTAATGAACTCTTAATGTCAGTGTCCTTTGAATGAAGCCTTATAAGAACAAAAAAGTTTAAACTGCTTTTGATGCCCTTAGCTAAGCAGAATAAACTTGGGAGAAGAAAAATCTTTTTTTCCAAAATTTGACACAAGAAAAAAAGAAAAGAAAACTTGACAATTTAATGAGAAATGACAGGTATTTCAAAAATAAGGTTTGATTGGAAGTATAAGAAGCTAAAGGTAGTTGTGAAAAACAGTGTGGCAGCTGGAAAGTACTTGTCAGAGTAATCAAGGTTAGACAGGGATAGAAATAAAACTAAAGTTGCTTCTGAATCACTTAGCCAGAAGAATAGATTTAGAAGCAAATTCATTTTTTCCCATAGTTGAGAACTGCAGTTGCTGTAGGTTGAAAGCTCAAATAGAAAGCTTTAGCTGTGCTTGCTGAATGACAGGCAGATTTATTAAAAAGTACTACTAGTATTTGCTGAACTGCCCTCCTTTTTGGGCCTTCATCCCACATCTTCTCTCACTCATTGGGGTCAGCTTTGTTTTTCCTTTGCTAAGTGTATGAGCCAGACTAGATGGCTCATAAAAGGAAGGGGAGGGAAGAATAAAGGTGAAGCAGAGGGATGGAAAAGTCAAGAATTCATTCTGGAGAGAAGCCAGGCCTCTGAGCTAATGTTCCTTAAACCAGTCTGCATTATTTACATAAAAGAATAAATCTGAAAGCCAAATAGTTTTTCACTGAAATTGAAATTATAGTTGCTGAAGGTTATAAGTATTGAGATAGCCTCAGAAATGCTTGGGAAATGACATTTGGGTTTAAAAATATGAACTACACTTGATTAGAAGTAGAAGAAGCTAAGCTAATAATACCATATGTATGTGTATACTGGGGCTGTAAATCAGACTGTGTTAGAAAGAGGGGACAGTAGGACTACTGGGAAGACTTCATTGTAGCCAAGCTATGCGTTTGGAGAGTCTGGTTACCTGGGTAGCTTTCATTGTATGTCTTTGTTTATGTGCCCATGGGTTATGTGTGTCCCTGGGCCAAATCCTGTGAACTGGGCTGTGCTGTAAGCTCAGGTCTTAAGCGCAGAGGTTTAAGCAGTTGCTGAGTCGTAATGATGTTTTGTTATAAGATTAACCATTGTGACATCCTGAGCAACATGTCCCAAGCCCTTCCCCATTCCCTGTTCGTATACCTGAGTCAGAAGTCACAGGACCCTTGCAATCAGTGGTAGATATTTTCAGCATATCCAAATATATTCATGAGTGTATTAGATATTGTAAATTTATATATTGGTCCAGACTGATTTTATTATTGTTGGGTACTCTCGGTGTAGAAAACCTTTCCGTGGATTTAGATCCTGGGATCCTAGATTTAGAACCAGAAGGAACCTTAAAGGACCATCTCCTCTACCTCCCTCATTTTACAAATGAGGAAACCGAGATGTGTGGCTTCTTTGTGACTCATTGTCATCCTTGCCTGGGCCACTGAGGGGTTAGGTGGTCTGGTTAGGATCATAGCTGGGAGGCGTCAGAGGCATGGCTTTATGTTTATGTGTATACATATACACACAACTATATACATATATGTCATAAGTACATATACACATATGTTGTGTTGTATTATGTGTTATATAAAATGTATTTGTACCTATATTCTGAGATGATTCCTAGAGATGTGAAAATCTTTGATATCTGAATGTTTGATATGACTTAAAAGGTATTTCCCATACAGATTTTTCTCTATTAATGACTTCAAGTTTGAATCCATCTCCATTTATTCATCTCTATGTAAAGAACAGAACTGTGGGGCCTTAGGCCCCAAATTATGTTCCCCAATACACTGAGCTTGTTTGCCCTTGACTATTGATGTCTAACTGATGAGAATGGCTTAAAATTAATGAGGCACATAAAAACTTTAATGGATAATGGAAAACGGGTTTTTTTTTCATTTTTACGTGATCTTTTAAATACTTAACAGCTGCAGCTCTTGCCAATAGACATGTAAGCAAAGGATGTTCCACTTAAATGATTTGTTCATCTGAATGTTTTATTCCTTTTAATTAAAATGAGTAGTTGGGTCTAACAGACAGAGCGTTGAAGTTATTTCCCTACCTCTTCTTGCTCCATTTTTGATTTGCTATATGCCTCTTTATCTCCATTAGCCTCTGTGAAACAAAATAATAGTGGGTACACCCCTTTAAAAGATCCAAAGATTAATAAATTGGTATTGGCTAATAATTTTGAATGCCCTAAACTATTTTTTCTCAATATCAGGTATTATTTAGAAGTTATTAAGCCTCAAAGCCTACTTTGTTGATTCATATTTTCATCTGTAAAAACAAACAAAATGCCTTTATAATTCTTTTCATAATTTTAGCCTAGGAGTAATCTAAGTTCATACCCCTGGAAATTGTTAATAGTTACACAAAGAAATTGAATTTGGGTCTCGAGAGCCATAGCAAACTAAAGGAATAGCAGAAAGTAGTCTAGGAGTGTCCACATCAGGCTTATGTAGTTGGAACCTGATAGGAATCAGTTCTCAGTTTGCAGGGTGTTAAGACAAGCCTCAGTGATTGTGTCAATTCTATATTTCAGAATTACATCCTTCTATGTAGTGTACAGAAATAGCCTGTAGCTAACAGTCAAAGTAAGACATGCATTGAAGGATCAGCATGTTCCTGAACATATTTTATTAAAATGTCTTTTGGCAGAAGTGAGGTCGGGGGCTTTGCTTACATGCTTCTATACACCAAAGTTTCTTGAAGTGAATGTGTCAAGGGATTGTATTAGTGCTCTGTTTTTCTATGTGTGCAGATGCAGTTACTGAACTCAACATATTTTTAGGTTCTTATTCTTTATCACTTTGGGTTTTTTTCAGTGAATACCCTGCTCAGCGTTCCAAGAAAGATTCTGAAGGAGTGGAGATGGGAGTAGCAGGTTCAGTAAGTCTGCTCCAGAATGTAACCCTGTCAACACAGCCCATTTCCAGCCTGGATTGGAGCCCAGATAAGAGGGGTCTCTGTGTCTGCAGCGCATTTGATCAGACAGTGAGAGTGCTGATTGTTACAAAGCTGAATAAAGTGTGACCTAAGAACTTTGTACCTTGGAACTTCCCAGGAAAACAGCTTAGAGTTTAAGGTGTCTTTGTAAAAGGATGATGGTTCTGTTGTCGTCCACTGACACTCATTGAGCAAAGCTGAAGCTGGCTGGTATAGAAAATATAAACAAACATGAAATATGGCTTGGGGGTTGGGCATATGGAATGCAAAAAGGGCTATGCTCTCTTCACTTGACTGACTGTTGACTTGCCTGTTGCAGAGCATGGAAGTGGTGGGGCTCTACAGATGAGTTGCTTCTAGAGCAAAGCAATGTATTTTTTAAATTTCCAACAAAACATCTTTATTTTTTATAATTTTGCCTCTGTTAAATGTGTTCCACATTTCCAGAGTTCCAAGGTTTTCTTTGATAACTTTATTTCGTTGTGATGTATACATTATTGTAGTTGAAATCATTTCTTCTGGTTAAAAGAGTTTGCTTTGAAAATTACCATGAATTAACCTTAGTAAACATATTCAGTCTGTGGCATTTCAGTGTCAATTTCTTTGCAGGATATTATTTGGTATTTATTTTATTTATAAAAACCCACAATAGGCTAATAATTTTTTACTCACCAATACTATTCATTAAATATACTATAAAATATTAGAATTTGCAAAAATTGCTTTTTACAATTTAATAAAGTTACTCTTATTCTTGAAAGATGATAAATTCAATTATGTTTGTAAGACTTTTTCATTGTTTATTATGAACATTTATGGTTATTGGAGATGTACAAGATTGTGGGGTTTGGATAGCCTGTTGATTTTTGGCAAGATTTTTTATATATTAATAAAGTTCTAGTATCTAAACTATAAAGAGACTCTATGATCCTGAGTGTCAGCCTAATAATAGTAAGGGGCAAAGGGTAGTTACCAGATATGCTGGCAGGAGCAAGCAGTGAGAAATGCTACTCGGAGACAGAAAAAGATTAGAAAAGTAATACAAGACTTCAAAAAAAGCATGGTATCCTGTAGCTTCTTAATGTCAGGGGAAATCATTCTCTACCTTTTTTTTTAGCTCCTGGGGAAAAACTCTCTCCACCAACACAGATCAGCACCTTCAGAGCAACTTATGAACCCTAAGAGCCCTTCCTGGGACCCTAAGGGGTTCAGTGATTTTACTAAGCTTACACAGCCAGCCAGTGTGTGTCAGGGACAGGACTCAGGGCAGGTCTTCTGTCCCCACAATCCCTCCCATCATTTTATTATAGAGCAATCATCAGTTTTCATAACAATGATCCCAGGAAATTCAGAGGAGGTTTGGTATGGTCTGCATGTGACTTATGCCTACGATAAACTGTGTAACATTAGGAGAAAACACCATCAAAAGTAGTTAATTTTTTTTCCTTAGTAGGAGATGCTTCAGTTATCCAAATAATCAGTTTTATTTAGGATAGCTCATTAGTGTTGAGTTGGAATGAAGGTAGCCAAAGTTTCTGAGTAGAGGAAGCTTATTTTCAGCTACTGTTAAGCAGTAGCCTTTGTTTACACAACAACTGCAGTTTTCCCACATGTCAGAACCCCTCAAGGCTCAGCCCCATTGGCCTCAAAGCTTGGCTTCCCAGAGAGCAATGATTATTTCTTCCTTCAGGTTTCTAGGGGCAACCTTGATGAGCTGGAGTTTTTCTAGTAGTGTTGCTCACAAGCTGCCCCAACTGATGGGCTTCCCAGTGATTATCAATTAGCTAGCCAGACTTAATTAGTTTTTAGAAAGTTCTTATGAAATAGGTATAGCAACAACAATTGTAACAAAAATGTCCCCTTAAACTGGGGCACACTCTCTTCTTTCACACACAAGGTCCCTGGGAAAAGTGGGCTAAGACTTAGCTCACCTGGCCAAAGGGTAGAGTTGCAGAGCCTGATCATTGGAAATCCTTTTCTCCCTTTGTGGAATCCTCATGAAGTTCCCCTTAGATGTTCCCCTCTTGAGCTCTGAGAGTTGATGCCCTGTAGAGTCCCAGATCTGCCTTTCCTCAGTGTGTCTAATTGGTTCTGTGTCTCTCAGCTCTTGATTTATTGATTTGATTGTGTCCTCAGACAGTGCTGCTGGGGGACACTACAATGTAAGCTGGTAAGAGCTCCAACTCTTTTTACTTCTCTAAGTTCACAATTTTATCACCTGATCAGTGAAAGGGAGGGAGCGTAGTACTCTGCCGGGGCTCGCTTCCATGTCATCCCATGTACCCCTTGCTCTCTACTTCATCTCTGCCTCTTTTTAATTTCTAAAATTTATTTTAAACTTAAAATAAGAAAAGAAAAAGAAAAGAAAAGAAAAGAAAAAACCACTGCCATGTACACAGCAAAACATGAGAGGATTCAGTATAAAGCAATGAATTTCCATTTCAAGAAAACCTATAGAATGAACATTACAAATTATTTTCAAAGCTGTCCATCTTTATTTATATGTTTCCTTTTGTCCTCTGCTGTGTACTTTTTACTTTATTTTTTTCCCCTTCCTCTACCCCCTACCCCACCAAAGGCTACAATTAACATGGATATATTTTAATGTGTGTAGATATATATTATATATATATACATATATATATATATGCACATATATACACACATATACATAGATATCCATAAACATACACATATATACTCAAATGCATATATGTAAGACCATATTATGTGTATTTCCATCTGAAATCTGTTTCTCTCAACGTGGATAACTTCTTCCTTCGTAAGTCCAAATCTTTCCATATTTTTCTAGCTCATTGTTTCCTGTACCACAACAATACTCTAACCCAATCACATTCTATCTGGGAGATTGTCTGTGAGGGTTTTTCCCATTTTTCTGCATTCCCTCTATTCTTGGCTACATAGGTTTTATTTATACAGGAAATTTTTAATTTAAAATAATCAAAATTAACCATTTTATACTTAACACTGCTCTTACCTTATAATATGGTTTAAGGTCTGATACTACTGAATCTAGTTCCTTCACATCTTTTTTTCCTGGTTTCCTTGAAGCTCCTGACCCTCTGCTCTTCCAAATGAACCCTGTTACTATTTTTTCTGACTCAGTAAGATAGTAATTTAATTGGGATGGCATTATATAAATAGATTAGTTATACAAAATTGTCATTTTAAAAATGATATTAGCTTTACCTACCATGCAAAATAAATATTACTTCAGTTATTTAGATCTAACTTTTTATGAAAGGTGTTTTGTGTTTATACTCACATTATTCCTGTGTCTGTTTTGGCAGGTATAATCTCATAGTTTTTATCCTGTCTAGTTATTTTATATGGTCTGAAACTATTGATTAATATGACTGACAGTGTAGTTTCCCTGTTTTCTCTTTTGATTAAATCTGATTTTAGCTTTAACTTTGTCTGAAATCATGATTACTATCCTTTTTCTTTACATAATAAATTCTACTCCTGACCTTTATTTTATGTTTATGTGTATCTCTCATTTTTGTAGCATTTCCTAAAAGCAACATATTGTTGAATTCAAATTCTTAATCTGCTATCAGTTTCCATTTTATAGGTGAATTCATCCCATTCATCTTCTAAAGTAAAATTAATTGTCTCTTTTCCTCCTATTTTCCTCACTATCCTTCTTACCCTATTCCTATGCCTCCTCACACCTCTACTTTACTTCTGCCTGCTACCTTGCCCTATTCCTTAACCTACCCCCCCAGTCTCTCCCTTCTCATCTCTCTCCACCGTGTCCCCTTACCCTCTTATTTCTTTCTGAATTTAGAAGACTTTTATGCCCTTCTAGATATGAATGTATTGCTCCCTCTTTAACCCATTCCGAACGAGAGTAGGATTCCAGAAGTACCAGCCCTGTTTCCCCATCTATTCCTCTATATCAGTTCTTCCTTTCACACCTCATTTGTATGAGGTAATTATTCTTTTTACCTTTTCCATTTTGCTTTTTAGAAACACATTGTACTTAGCTCTACCCCACTCTTTCTTTTGAACTACCCAGCAATCTTAGACATATGGTTTACATTTCCATGAAATTTGTCCTTATTGAGTGCCTTGTAATTAGTTTTTGATGTTTACCTTTTATTTCTCTTGGATCTTGTATGTCAAATTTTCTATTAAGTTCTGGTCTTTTGGCAGTAAAATCCTGAAAGTCTGTCAATTCATTGAATGTCCATTTTTTCCATTCAGGATTATATTTATGTTTGCTGGGTTTGATATTTTGGCCATAACCCTAGTTCTTTTACTCTTTGATATATAGTGTTCCAAGACCTGTGGTCTTTCAGTGTAGCCGCTGCTACGTATTGTATAATTCTAATTGTGGCTGTGCCATATTTGAATTGTTTTTTTCATGTTGCTTGCAATATTTTCTCCTTAATCTGGGGATTTTGGAATTTGGCTATGATATTACTGTAGGTTTTCCTCTGAGGAGCTCTTTCAGATGGTGATCATTGGATTTTTGTCTATTTCTACTTTTCCCTCTTGTTCTAACATTTCAGGACAATTTAATTATTTCTTGTATTATTGTATCAAGATTCCTTTTTTGATCATACCTTTCAGGTAGCCCAGTCATTCTTATGCTTTCTCTTCTTGATCTGTTTTCCAGATAAGTTATTTTTCTTATAAGATGTTTCACATTCTGATCTTTTAAAAAATTCTTTATATTTTGTTTTATTATTTCTTGGTCACATAACTTTGCTGGTTTCTCCTTGCCCAATTCTCATTTTCAAGGAGTTGTTTTCTTCCTTAAGGTTCTAGATCACCTTTTCCAGTTGGTTGACTTTCTTTTCATAATCTTCTTGTTTTTCTTGGATTGTTCTTACTTTAAAAAAAATTTCCTCAATCTCTCTTATCTGATTTTTGAAATCTTTGAGTTCTATGAATTCATTTGAGGCAGGTGACCACTTGACGTTATTCTTTGGGGGTAGAAGAGGCTTTTTTGCTTCAGTATTCTCCTCTGAAGATGAACCCCAGTCTTCTCTATTCTCAGCATCTATTTGTGGTTGGATTCTTTCTCTTTTGCCTGATCAATTTTGAAAAACATTTTTAGCAGCTTGTTATCATTATCACCTCTAATCCTGGGGTGTGGGGGATGTTGCCTCTAGCCTCGGGTGCTTCTTGCTGTTATTTTTTGAGCTTTGTCCTGGGCCCAACCTCTGCACCCCTTTCCCCCTCCAAGCCACAGCTAGGGCCCCCAGACACACTATGCTGGAAATGCTCTTGGATCCCTGAGGACCCTCCAGTGGCTATGACCTTCAGTTCTCCTCTCTGGCCTGGAACTGACACCAAGAGCTCAGCCAGCAGCGTTCCTGCCTCACTGCTTCTGCACTAACCAGATGTATGCCGGTTCCTTATCGCCCAGGACCGTGTCTCAGCAGCACAGCTGGACCTGGCATCCCTTGTCAGCACAGGCTCCTTAAATCTTCCCCCGCTTAGAAGCTGACTCCCCACACTGTCCAGGAGATGAAAATTCCTGTGGCTGAGGTCAAACCCAGCTACCCCCAGGGCTCACTGCTTGCTGTTTCAGTAGAGCTAGCCTGGAGGTGTTTACCCTTCACTCTGGCTGAACCTGCTTCCTGGGATCTTTCTTCTGATCTCCAGTTGTACCAGGAGGACCGCTGTTCTGCCCCAAGTCTTGTTTATTTTTGCTGCTCTAGGTTCACCCTGAGGCGTTATTTTGTCTTGTTTGTGGAGGAAATCTGGAGAGCTTGGAATTTTCTGACTACTCTACCATT